AAAAAAAAAAAAAAAAAAAAAGCCCTGCTCAATCCCATTCTTCCTCGTGAGCTTTATCTTAGATCTTGAATTCCCCAATCTCTTCATACAATTCATTTTTGGGGGAAGAGATCCATCTCTCTTCCCTCTGCAGTCCCTTCCCACTGTACTCTCTAGAATCCATTTGTTGGGTTTTTTCATCTACAGCTCACTTCACTTTTCATTACTTTAGAAACTTGGCTATCCCCCAGCCTCCGTGCCTTTTGCCTTTGTTTACCTTGAATCAATTAGAAAAGAGAAGCCAGGCAATCTTACTCTTATCCTTAATTTGTAAGCTGCTGTTTTATGACTAATTCATTTGAGCTTATCCCAAATGAAGCTTGGCTTGGCTTCTGCTTGGCTGTTGTGTTGCTGCTATTGACTATCATTACTTTTACCTTGGACCTGCTTCACTTTCACAATTATCCTTTCCATTTTGCCTCCTGTTATTGTTATTTAAAAATCCACATAAATAAGATGCTTCAAAGATTCCTGATTTCCTAGTTGTTACATATATTTTACCTATGAACATGTGCTCTTGACCTCATCACAAAACATTCTCTGCTCACTGCACTCCTCAATGTAGCACTCCTATTCCATACCTAACATCTCCCATGTCCTCTATTTGCCTTTCAAAGCCTCAATTTCCCTGCATTGGCAATTTGTTTCCAAGTAGTAACCTTAGTCTACTATACTTTCTCTTTATTCTAGATAACTAGCTTGATTCCCTCCAATGTGTACCTGGAGATTCCATGCCATTCCACCTTTTATTGGTATTACAACTGTATTTAAGCACAAGAAACAACAAGAATAAAACACCCACATTTATTTTTAAACAAGTATGAACTGTGTCCTTTTATGTACTAGGCATATTCCATGGTTCTTGGTCTTTGTTCATGGTCCCTTTGTACGATTTGTTACATAAGAGAGTTAATGTGCAGAAAGGCAAATTGAGGAACATGTGCAATGAAAGAACATGTTAAGCAGAAAATAAACTAGGAAGACCCCAAGTAAAGGCATCAAGGAATAGAAAGCAAGTTTTAAAAAACAAATTGCATTCCAGTGAGCAGTCAGATTAAAGAGAGAAACTCTGAAATTACTATGCAATTTCAGATAACAAGTCTATAAAATCAGACTAGATAAGGAATAATTGATATCACTGGTTTGGTAAGGAAGGTATTCCCATAAAGGTTCTCATTACTAAGTAGTCTCCTCCAACAACAAAAGTTTGCACAAGAATGAGAAATGGGAAGCAAATAAGGTTAGCTAGGTAATAGACCTCTTATAGCTGCAGAGCTCTCAGGTTGGGATCCCTGTTGTTTCTTGGAGATAAAAACCAGATTTCTAATCCTAGTAGCCACAGTGCCTTATTTGTGCAACTACAATGTTGGTGTTATGAAAAATCCTTAAATAAGCAGTCCTCAATTTTATAAATGAGTTGTTTTTCAACTGTTCACTTGCTTCTCTCTGTTGTAAACTTGAGAATGTTTTTCCATATAGAAAGTCATATAAGTTCCAATCCCAAAAAACAAGTTGAAATATAATATGCCTAAATTACGTACTTTACCATTTTCATTTCTGTGGGAAAATGTGTTCACACTTACAACTTAGAAAGCCAGAAATAGGTGTATTTCTATAGGACTAAGTACTCTCCTAGTTTCAACTCTGTGGTAATGTTCTGTATAGAGAATAGAAGTCATGAATACAGGGGCAAGCAACAGGGACACCAGGAAAATTAGGGGGAGAATATATTATAGGAAGGAGAAGAAGATGAGACAAAGACACAGAGCTGGGTCATACTCCTAATTATATATATATATTCTCTGCTCTAATGAAAATCTCTAATTTACTCTAGTATCTCTGCTCTAATGAAAAAATATATATATATATATAATGAAAAAAAAATATATATATATATATTTTTTTTTTTGCAGTTTTTGGCCAGGGCTGGGTTTGAACCTGCCACCTCCAGTGTATAGGGCCAGCGCCCTACTCCTTTGAGCCTAATTATATTTCTAAAGAAGAATGGAGACAATCTTTCTTTTCTTTCTCCTCTTGCTCTTTTGTTACTGACTCACCACTTCAAAACCCACTGACTGCTTGAAGTGAGGGAACAAGAGGGACTGGAATTGTGCTGGGGTCGGGTGAGAAGACAGTCCCAGAAATTGTGGTGTGGAGTTTGTTGTGGCAAGGTAAAAAAGGAAAGAAATAATAGGACATCTTAGTAGAGTCTGATTGCTGTATAAAAAGACAAACACATCAGGAGCTGTATGTACTTCTATGTGGCTTGTGTATTGTCCACTAAAATAATTATCATAAGCTCTCATCTAAAGTAGAATTTTTAACTCAGCAATACAAGTGAACGAGTTGTTGGTTGATTTTTTTTTTTTAAGAAGCCCAAGGGATAGAATCTGTAATTTTTGGACTTTTAATGTACTTAAGAAGGCATGTAGTACCACTCCTTAAATTAAAAACAACTATATATCTGTTCTCAAGAGCAATTATTAGAAAATTTAGAATATAACCATAATAAGAGCTGGGAGACAAAGGGAAGTTAAAACAGAAAAGAGCACCTAAATAAACACACAAGGCCTTGCACTCAGAAGATACTGAGAAGCCTGAGAATAGCGATTTTCAACCTGTGGGTCGCAACCGCTTTGTAACAATGAAAATACATCCTGCATATTATTTACATTACAATTCATAACAGTAGCAAAATTATAGTTATGAAGTAGTGACAAAAATATTTTATGGTTGGGGGTCACCACAACATGGGGAACTGTAGTAAAGGGTCGTGGCAATAGGAAGGTTGAGAACTACTGCCTTAGAATGTATTTTTTTTTTTTTAAATACTTAAATTTGAAGGGATACAAAAGGCCCCCTTAAAACTCTACATTTTAGGAATGATCGTGGTTTAATTCCTTGTTTACCCTAAAGACCTGGTAGCATATGTCCCCTGTAGGGATTTCTTTGTGCTAAAAATCTGCAGTGGCCCTTTATTTACAGGACAGTGTTCAGGCTTCTCCACTTCATAGGTAACTATGATGCAACTCAATGTTTCTCAAATACTAGAGTAAACCAGGTGACTGTGGTGCTATAATACTGAAGAGTCTCACCTCCCATCCTAGGTCTAATGAAGCAGAATGTCTGTGAGTGGGACTCAGGCATGTTAAGCCCCACAGGTGATTTTGATATTCATCAAAGTTGGGGAATCATTAATATAATGGAGAGAACTAGAAACTTACAGACCTAGCACTTAGGTTGCTGGTCTTTTCCTTTTTGTGGTATTATAGATCTATCACCAACTAACTCCAGAAGCAAGAGTATCCTCATTTTTAAAATGGAGGATAATTTTGATTTATAGTGGTATTCTAGGAATTAAAAGGAAAAAGTGCTTGCTAAGTGTCAAAATGTTATAAATTATTAGATGAAATTGACATTCTAGTCCTCCCAGTCTATCTCCCAGCTGCTTCCAACTTAATGCCATCAATTGCCCAGTATAAATAAACCCTTTGCTTTAGGTCTTATCACTGATGCTTCCAAGCCACTGGCACTCTTTACCTCTGCTTACATTTCCTCTACCTGTTTTCTCCATTTTGCCTTTCAAATCTGCTCATCAAACACTTTTCAATAAAAGTGCTTCCTGTCCACACTAGACAAAAGCAAACTGTTCTTAAAATTTATAGCCTTATTTTCTACCAAGAGCCATTTTAATTCTACATCATGTTGCTAATCAATCCTACTCTCATGTAGTGTTATTTAACGAAATATGAGGATCTGACCTATCCCAAATTAGGCTGTAAACTTATTTAAGACAAAAAGTTGGTGTTGGCTCAGCGCCTATAGCTCAACCGGCTAAGGCGCCAGCCACGTACACCTAGGGTGGCGGGTTCGAATCCCCAGCCCGGACCCGCCAAACAACAATGA